GAAGCGAGACCATAGTCTTCTTATGATACCTGATATTTTTAGAGACACCACAACGCCCGTTACATAGTTCATTCCGTTGGGTGAAAACATTTCGCATATGGGTGCTGGCTCTGATTACCTTGTCGTTGTTTTCTTGACTTTTAATAGCGGGGTGGTTTTCTAGTTTGCTAGTGAGCTAGCTTGATTTCAAAGGTCTTCGAAAGCTTTCAGGATGCCGGATCGAGGGATGCAAGGCATGCTGATGCTTTGTATGATAACACCTCCCAAACCGACGGTCTGTGTTTCTCAGAGTCGGTTAGGCAACCATCATGCGATAGCGCTTGTCCAACGCCTCGATATTGGAACAACATTACTGCTCTGGATCGTAGTAACCGGTCTGGATCTTTCGCAGGCATCTTCTGTCAGCCACGTTCATCATACTAGTCTCCTTTCTGTAGCCGTCACTTTTATCATGGGCTAGATATCGTGTACTTCTGTGTTTATTGTGCTACATGTGGGTTTATTTAACTTCAAGAGGGGGTGACCTATGGGAACTCCGGAAATTCTTATAATCTGCTGCAGCACAATTTGTTCTACTTATTCTGTTTTGGGGACAATATTTGGCTAATATAACCACAAATGCTATCATCACTATCATAAATCCTTTTACTGTTCGTAACGAAAACATTAGTTACTTAGAGATTCGTTGTTTGAATGAGAAATAAACTTAAATCAAAATATTGTCGATCAAATCTTTTGACGTCCGATTTGAGTTCACTGAAAAACAAATTAGGCATAACAAAATCCATTTTTTTATTATTTAAAGTCGATTAGAGCTGTCAGGCCCACCCCCTAAAAGAAACACACAGATGAGATAAGACAAACTACCGTTGGTTTATTTCCAAACGTCGGAAATTTAAAGCAGCATCTGAAATGATACAGAACCGGATTTGTGGCTTTGGTTCATTTAGTAGCACTTCCATGCCCTCCGTCTACGCAGGAAAACAACGCCCTTTTATAAGAAACGAATTTCCAACTAAGGAAATAATATTCTTCCTTAACCAACTGTCTCTATTTCTCTTTCAGCACAATCTATCGACATACGGGTACATTTTGTCCTAGATCGAGAACTATGGTATACTCAGGGATGCCATCAACGGTTTCTCCTCAGGGGTACCTAATAACGTTCGATTTCACCGAAATAAGTCATCTAGTACACTTGCTTCATACCGCTCGGCTCCTCAGTTAGAGTCGTCAACAGCAACATGGCAGAGGAGCGCGGTTTGTCAGTTTTGTTGATATATCTAAGAACATTAAGAAAAAAGGCAAGATAAAGAGTGGCTGCTTGTGGATTATTAGTTATCATCAGCCAGTCATGCCTGGTCCCAGGCGAAAACACCAACCGAGGTTGGAACCTCCTGCCACACATCTACAGTATAAACTCAGATAAAAGAGAAGATGAACTAATTGCGGGTTTTCTGCTAAAACATCTTACACCGGCTTACAAACTAAACCCCACTGCACTTTACGCTCCAAATCTGCATTTATGGCATTCGTTTTTCGAATGGCTATGACATCTTTCAGAAAGACGAAGCTTGGGAATCGGAGTAGCAGTATTCCGTCATTTAATCTCACCTCTTTTGTAAGGAACCAACTGCTCATCAAAAGCTGGCAACATGAAATTACACGGGTGCATCATTTTATCGTAGATCGAGAGCTTTGGTGAACTCAGGGATACAATTAACAGCCTCTCGTCGGTGGCCTGTTTCGTCAACAATGCCGGCGTATTCGGATGCCTGCCCGCCAACCTGGCCACCAGCGATAAGATGACC